AATTGTTATTTGAATTTGGATTAGATTAATTAAATGGTTACGTAATTTAGAATTAAATAAAATTTAAACCCTAGTTCTTTTTCATCCATAGTTCTTTTTATTTAGAAAATTCTTTTAGATTAAGTAGTTTAACTCTATTCAATTAATTAACTAATTTAACTTAGACTAATTACTGAATTAATATTATCTTAATAGTGTATAATAGTCTTTGAGGAAACACTTTCTTACTTATCTTAGTCTGTACAATAAATAAGATTCACTTGCCTAAAAATAGTGCACATTTGATGTTTCAGTATTTTACTAGAATTTAAAAAAACAATAGAAATCAAAACTGAAAATCCGTTTTTTTCCCGAATTTTAGGAAATCTAAAAAGGCAAGAGTAGCTAGCTAAGTCCAAAAAATTTTAGTCTCTCCGAAGGAATTCTATGTGGGAAAATTCATCCGCCGAGAATGGTTGGGCAGTAGAGTAATTCATCCACCGACAATGATTGCTAGTAGAGTCCCCTCATTGGTTTTCCGGCGTCAATAGGGTTAGCATAGAGAACTACAAAATCCTTTCAGTCGCCCGTGACAAATATTTTTCTGATTATAGTGGGAATGTTATAGTTATAACATTATATAAAATTATAAATATATAATCGTACGTGGCATTAAATAAAATATAACATAGTATTAAATAAATAAATGTATACAATATTATAAGTAGATCATTTAATGAAAAGAACTAATTATATGACATATCATCTTATAATCTTATAATAGCATGTAACATTTTAACAATAGTATTTTTTGTGAATGTAGTTAATATATTTATGTAGATTCGGCAAATTATATTGTGATTTGTGAGGTTCTTTTGTCATATATTGTATTGCATCCGTAAAAATCTAGGAATGCTAATTATTTTTTCTATTGTAACAATCCAACCCACTATTGATAGTATTTATTTTAGCCTATTGGATCTCATGTATGATTTTGAAATACGTCAATAGAAATTAATAAATATTGACCTATATACTCAATATCTCTCCCATGCTTTATCATATAAAATTTGTCTAGGAATGTCACACTTGGAGACAATTTTCTCTCTTTTTTTTTTTAACAGGAGCCAATTCAATTCTGTATACTCAAGTTGCAATGGATTGTCATTATATCCGACTTCCGAAATTTAAATTAACTGAATGTAATGCAGGGTTAGCTGGAATTCATCATTAAGGATGAAACAGAGAGCTTAAAAAACAGATGGCTGGCAATCCTAGGGGACCCAAGGCATACACCAATATTTGGTGTTTTAGTTGAGATTTTGGCATTTTGTAAGTTAGATTATAAAATATTAATCATTAATTAAAACAATTCTTTATCATTATCAAAGAGTCACTCATAATCTAAGAATTAGTATTTTGTAATTGGAACTCCTTTAAACCAGTGCAAAACACCCCCTTTTTTTTTTTTAGGTGATGGGAAGTGCAAAACACATTTTCGTTTGGCTTATCACCATCAAATTTGGGAACCGAGCTAATTTCGACACTTTGAAAATGAGATACATTTTTTAACCTGAAAGATACCAAGTGGGTCGCTATTGGGCCGGACCAACCTTGGACCTACAGTCCCAGTTTCATCAAACTGAAACCGTGACAGGTCCACCACATAGGGGGATCGGTCCTAACCTTTTTTTTTTTTTTCCCATTTTCACCAGCGCTAATTACTACCTGCCTTCCACATGACATCATGTCAATATCAAACATGAAAATTAAAATTAAGCATACCATTCCATCACCGTTCTCCACTTTCTTCCGATTCCAAATGTGGGAGTCACCCAGTCCCCTTAAAATGATGTAATTGCACTCTTCCAGAAAAAAAAAAAAAAAAGCATTAATAATGAAATGAAACGGTACAAAATATACACTACGGAGTGAATTGTTGTTTCCGAAGTAATTAAGGGAACAATCAGGGCTTTTATCTATTAGATGAGACAAGAAGTCCACATATGGGCAAATATAATGTTAAACAAAACAAAGATAGAATTAAGCACTTTCTGAATCTAGGCAAACATATCCCGATCAAGAAAAGGCCTTAGTACTTTAGTAGACATTTCAGTTTGTAAGTAGCTATTTGGCCTCCCAATCCACATGGTCCGATGCAAACTTAGCAAGGCAGCAGCTCAGTGAGCGAGAGGTGGAAATCCCAATCCAATGGGCTGAGCTTGTAGAGGCAGCATATGGTATTTAATATGCAGATCTTCCAAAACTGTCTTCAACTCTAACATTAGATCAGGATTGTCGGTCGTTCCTCTTCCCATAGTTCTGAAAGTTCATTTTGTGAGTGAAATAGAAACTCATTTTCATCTTGTTCACATCATCAAAGTCTTTAACCACCACACTATGTTCAGGTTGCCACAACTCAGAGTTCTCCTTCAAATAGCTGAAATTCAAGGGAGAAAATCATCTAACAAAGAGTACATAACATGAAATGGGGGAACAAAGAAAGTAAGGATCACTACTGGAAAACAAGGTATATTCGACAAAAAAGTTTGTCGAATATAGAGGTATTTATGTCGATTATGTCTTAATCAACAGCCAAGTATATCGTATAAAATACAGTCGATAATGAGTATATTTGATAGCCAACTTTTCTGTCGAATATACTAATTTAATCGACAGATATTGGCTGTCGAAGATAAACACAATTGACAGAGCTTCGCTGACAATAAAGATTTTTTAATTTTTGAAGGTTATATTGGACAGCCATTAGCTATCGATTAAAGCTATATAATCGACAGCTAATAGCTGTCAAATATGTTTTTTTTTTTTTTTGAAAATTATATTTGACAGCTAATAGCTATCAAATATGGTTTTTTTTGTTGGAAATTATATTCAACAGCTTATTTCTGTCAATTTTTTTTTTTTTTTTGTGATACTATATTCGACAGCATGTTGCTATCGAATATACTTGGCAGAAAAAAAAATTGAAAAATCAAATAAAATCCAGAATTAATCTTATATAATTTTCTGCTAATTTTATATAAAAAAATCAGAAAAACGAACACAATTATCAAGTTCCCCAATAATTTTTAACAATAATATAAAAAAGTAATAGATAATCATAAATAAAATTAAAATGAGTATTAACCTTAATTATTTTGAAATATGTTCCTGTTCCTGCCAGAAATAACAAAAAAAATGTTTATCAAGTAATAAGAATTTCAAAAAGAAAAGAAGATAAAAAGTATAAATCACAAAATTTACCTCACATTACTTCATAATCAATGTA